CCTTGGGATGAGTTCCCATGGCAGGACAGGCCCTGGATTTCCAGGAACATCCTGGGAAGAGCCCATCCCACCCCCAGCTCCTCCTCGGGGAGCACTTCCAGCAGCTCAGCAAGAGAAAGGCTCGGCCTGGTGGGGTTTAAATCATTTATATCATTCTTTATATCATCGTTAAGAGTAGCAGGTATTGATGTACAATGCATCTGTCATCTTATTGTGCTTCCTATGAAAATGTGTGTACATAGTACAGATACCGGAGAGAATTCCACACTTTTATACACTTTGAAGGCATTCAGAGATCAGAAAAAAAAGAGAAAAAAAACAATAAAATGGCACAAGAACAAGGCCTAAACGCTACTTGGATGGGTATCTACACTGGCATGATGCATATAGAGGTATATATATATATATGTACACATATATATATAGTCATATATATTATATATAAGAAATATAAAATGCGGATGGCGTAATAACAAAAAGAGTGTCTTCTTCAACAAGGTGTTGAGCCTCGAGGTCAAATCCCAGCCCCATCTTTAACAGCTCCAAGGGGGGAAGAAAGAGGGAGGGAGGGAGGAAGAAAGCAAATAAATAAACGAAACGCCAGGAAAAATCCATAAGAAAATTTATGGATGTGGCCGACCCGTCGTCTTTGGGCGCAAAAGGGCTGAACCCCCCCCTCCCCAGTTCCTAATTTTGGTCAGGAAGCAAATGATAGGAATTTAAAAAAATGGCAGGAATTAAAAAAATGGCAGGAATAAAAAAAATGGCAGGAATAAAAAAACCCCAAAGCTGCAGCTGGGAAATAAAAAAAATCACTGAACAGACTTATTGCAAAAGCTCTTAAAGATTTAAGTAGCACTTGGGCCCCTGGGGGGGGGCTCTGGCCTGGTCTGGGGGGCTGAGGGGGGGTCAAGTGAAGACCCCAGAGCGAAGTGAGGGAGCTGGAGGGGGGGGGGGAGACCCCCACAGACCCCCAAACCCCCCCCAGGGAGGGGCACGAGGCCACAGACACCCCAAAAATCCCCAAAAATGGGGGGGCTCAGGGGGTGGGAGCTGCTCCTGGGACCAGCCTGTGAGCCCTGGTGGTGTTTGGGGCTCCGGTGCCCACCCGGCCTGGGCGGTGCCAAGGGGGTGTCCCTCTAAACAGGGGTCCCTTCCCCCTTTCTCCCTGGGCAGGGCTGGTTTTGGGGGGGCTGCCTGGGGTGCCCTGGGAGCAGGGAGGGCTGGTGGGATGGGGTTGGCACTGCCCAGAACCCGGGGGAAAGGGGCAGGGTGGGCTCAGCATCGCCCGGGCTGGGGGTCTGCAGAGCCACGGGGGCATCCCCAAATCCCCCCCGCTGCCCCCCCAGGGGCTGATCCCGGGGTGGGTGCCAAGGAAGATGTTCTGGAGAGGGGCAGCTCCTGCTTCCTGGTGCACATGGAGCACCCGGGTGAGGGTGGGCACCGGTCCTGGGGGTCTGCAGAGCCACAGGGGCACCTCCCGAGTCCCCCCCGGTGCCCCCAGGGGCTGATCCTGGGGTTGGTGCCAAGGAAGATGTTCTGGAGAGGGGCAGCTGCTGCGTCCTGGTGCTCGTGGAGCGCCCGGGTGAGGGTGGGCACCGGTCCTGGGGGACACTGAGGCTCTCCAGGGACCCCCAACCAAGCCCTGGGACCCCTCCACAACCCCCCCTGGCACGGGGGGGTCCGAGGTGTCAGGAGCAGGGTGGGCACGGGGGGTCCAAGGTGTCAGGAGCAGGGTGGGCATGGAGACGCTGGCGGACAGACGGACAGGGCTGCGGATGGACCCGGCGGCCCAACGGCCGCTTCTGCTTCTTCATCTTCTTCTTCTTCTTCTTCTTCTTCTTCTTCTTCTTCTTCTTCTTCTTCTTCTTCTTCTTCTTCTTGGCTTCTGGGTTCGGAGTTAAAAAGGCCGAGGGGGAGCTCGGGGAAGGGGAGAGGGTAAAGGTGGAGCCGGGGCTGGCCCTGCCCCGACCCCTGTGCGTGTGTTGAGTCGTCCCTCGAGTCTCTGAGCGCGGGGGCATCGCCCCGACCCCGCCGCGCCCGCGGGGCCGTCGCTCGTGTCCGTGTGTCCCTCGGGTGCCGAGGAGGGAGCGAGGAGGGGCCCCCCCGGGGCCGTGTCCCTCCCCTCCCGGAGGGAAGGGGCAGCTCCCGCGCGGGGCTTTGGTAGCTGGGGTTGTACATCCAGTGCCGTCGGGTTAGCAGGTGAAGTCCTCGAAGGTGCCCCGGGCAGGGTGGTGAGGTAGGATGTTGGCTGCGTACGTCATCCCTGCGGGGTGGCCCCGTATGCTCTCGCAGGGGTTCTGGGGGGGAACGGGGTGTTGGGGTCATTGGTTTCGCCCAAAGCCCCACAGAGAGAGAGTCCTGGATCCCCACAGCATCTAGGACTGGGCCCTCTGCTCCTTCCCCAAGTGCTCCCCAAGCTGGGGCCTCCCGTCCCATGGCACCTCCTGGGCAGCCCCGAAAGAGTGACCCCACACCCTGCAGCCCCGAAACAGTGACCCCACAGCCCCAAAACAGTGACCCCACAG